CTTTTGTCAGGAGCTCAAAGATCTTGCAAGATCCGACCCCAACTTCCTTTCTAAGCTCCGTGTGCCTTCTTCCTCTTCCCAAAGATGAAAATTCAGCTAAAGGGAAGGAGATTTGAGACGATAGAAGAGATTCAGGCAGAATCGCAGATGGTGCTTGACAGGCTGACAAAGAAAGATTTCCAGGGATGCTTCCAGGCCTGGCAGCGGCGCTGGGATCGTTGTGTTCACTCCCAGGGGAACTACTTCGAGGGTGATGGATGAATTTAATACCTGAGATAAGTGTACGGGTTTTTATAGGTGCAGTCTTGAAACTTTCTGATTGCACCTCGTAAAATGTTGAAACGTAGAAGTTAGGCCGTTTGCAAGTGACGCAGAGCAATTTATAGAAATTGTCAAAAGGAATTTTGTTCCATGATTCACCTGAAGCGAATCTGGCGATAACCGTTAACGCCTACATCGTACGTCGAAATATATGTTAAGGAGTTATCAGAAAATCTTATTGGTGCGAGTCTTAACGGTGAGTGAAGTTTTATGTCAATATTCAGGTCCATGTTAGAGGATTCTGGAACATTAATTACGCCGTCTGACGTATCAGTTTCGTTATGTGAAGTAAAGAAATCCAGATTGAAATAATCGAAAAGCTGAACGGTTGGAGATCTTTTCTTGTCGAAATTGCAGTGGCCTTTAGACTGTTTCATGGTTCCATAAAAAAACAAAAAGCCATAATTCTGGTGAAACGCGTTGTAGAGAGAAGGTACAATGTATTTTAATGTTAACAAATCACGTCCTTTCCGAATTAGCACTTCTTTTCCATTGTGAATCTTCTCGAGGAAGAAATGGTTTCTGCCATCGATTAGTTGGCGCATGCGCAGATATATCGAACTCACCTCTTCGCTCCTCTGATTAGGTTGAGCATGAGATGAAGGCAGGCGATTGAACCACGTGTAAGGCGTCCTGTAAGAAACATAAACACAGATTAAACTATTGTGCTGTGATCAGTGCAGGGAATTGAACTGGGTTGAAAATTCCAGCGACCTTCGGCTACGTCACACGAAGAGGTCAAGGGGACGAAGGCGCCATGTGCTCTGTTACTTTCCCTCCGACTCCCCTACCCAGAATTCTGGATTCCAGCGAAATTTCTTTGTCTGTTTGTAACTACAACAAAGCTCGGAGATATTTTGCGACAATCAAGCTCAGGCCATGCATGAGTCAGAGGTTCGTGGTTTAACTTCAGCTCAAAGAATTTTCAAAAATGTTGTGATTGTATGTGACCACACTCTGTCATCGGGAGGCTCCCACCTCGCAGAATCTGCACCCCTGAGGCCAGTGGGTTATCGTACTCAGACAATCTCCGTATGATACTCAAGATTACAGAACCTCATGACCTGATAAGATGAGCCGGGATAGCTCAGTCAGTATAGTGACTAACTACGGGCTGGACGACCGGAGTTCGGTCCCCGACGGGGACAGGACTTTTCCTCTAGCCTCTGCTTCCAGGCCTGCTCTGGGGCCCACCCAGCCTCCTCTACAATGGGTACCGGGGTCCTTTCCCAGGAGTAAAGCCAGCTGGGGCGTGATGCTATACAATCACCCCATCTAGTGCCGAGGTCAAGAAAGGGAGGAGCTATACCTCCTCTCACCCCCAAGCGCCTATATGGCGTATGGCGGGACAAACTTTACATTACTTTACTTTACATAACCTGGTAAGGCGTTGCAAAATATCCGAAGAGCGCACATAAAAGTGTATGAAGAACAATATTCACTCGAACAGATTCTTAATATGCCAAATGTTCTAAAGTCCTTTCGGGGATTCAGATTTACAAAATGAAGTACCAGTTAAAGACTTTCGAAATTTTCGTCCAGTAGGGGGCTCTTAAATTCGGGGGGTGGACAAGACAGCGGCCCATTTTGACAACCGTTTCCCTCACTCGGTTCCCGACACGGACACAAACATCGCTTTCCTTTTTTTCGGAACATCACGTACGACATACAGACGTACGTAAATGAACGCGCGGCCAATAACTTATCCTGTTTTCACGTTGAAGTGCTATGCTCTATGCCCCTCAGCAATCGGCTGGCATTCTTCGAACAAAGAAACAAAAGCAATAAAACAGTGGAGAGTCGTTCATGGAGTCTCACGTGAAATTCAGCGAGGAAAACCTCGATCAAGGTAACCGTCTCCGGTTTCAGATTTGATATTTCTTCTTGCTTACGCAAATTCACTCTCGGCAACGAGCAAGGGGATTCAAAAGAAACAGCAAAATTGCTCGACTCAGGGAATTGAACAGACGATGACTCTCGGCTGGAATAAACGTAGGTTTTAGTAATTGCGTTTACGTAATTTCCGGATTACGTCTGACTGAACAAGTCGCTGTAACTGACGGCATCAGTTTCGGGTTGAACAATAATTTATAGCACGGCGAGAAAGAAGCATTTTTACTGTAAAACTTTTAAGATTTCTCTTGAGCTTTCCTTCCGCTTTGAACACAGAAGATTGTACCAAGCATCCAAAAATATCGTAAGAATAATTTAGACCTTTTTAGGGGCTCCAGGTTTGTAGCGGATCATTTTACAAGCGACTCTGGGTAACTTAAAAGTTCTGACTTCGCCATTGGACGTGACCCTGTAACGAGGCCTTCTCAAAAGTGTTTTGCAAAACCATTCCAAACTGAAAGCGTACGAATACAATCGCACAGCCACAGTGCGTTGGACCTATTTTGTGAGCGCTGTCAGTCAGCCACGCGTGAAGGACACATCACCACTGCAGTCTCTGGAGATCGACAAACTAACTCAACTCCCTGGTAGGAGAAACCGCAGGTCCAACGCCGACAACACCAAAGTCCGAAACCGGCCAAGATCCTGGGCCAAACTTCGTCCATTTGTCATCCTCACAGCCCACCTCCCTTCGATCCATCTTGATATTATCCTCCCATCTCCTTCCTGGTCTGCCCAGTGGGCTTCTTGCAGAAGGATTCCCTTCCAAAATTCCGTATGTACCCCTTGACCCCTACCCCCTGCGTGTCAGGAGTCCGACAGTGTTTTTAATTCGCAGTAGAAACTTAAGATGGCGAGGTCTTTATTGATTAAGGGATTTCCCTATCGCGGGGCCCCAGGTTAATGTGCACTTCCTTACCTATAATGAGCCTCGATGTGGCATTCCGTTCCATTGACTGTCACCGCCTCTTCATGTGGGGTCATTAAGAAATACAACTTCTTCAAGCGATGGCAAAGGTCATTAAGCTTTGCATCAGAGATTGAATAATTGCGAATAAAATTATAAGTTCTTATCTCGAAGTGGTCCATGAATATCGAGGAGCGAGCAAACAGTTTGACGATTTCGTTTAACTTATTTGGATTAAGCATGAAGAACCCCAAGAGTGTTGGCGAATGGTGGGCCCATCGCAGGAACCTGAGGAACTCGTCCAGCAAACTGCCGGCGTAGAAGCACGCCGGATGTCCAGAGCCGGAATAGGGGCTGTGAATGTGTCTCCAGGTGACGTATCTCAACAGGCGGTACTGCAAACAAACAGGGCAACTGTCAGACGGCCAGCTGACCACATGGGCTGTCAACATAACTAACGATGTCCTTCAGTTCACACGTATGAATTTCTGATACCGCTATTCAAGTTATGAGCAGCTGAATACAAACCCTGCAGTTGGTATGTCGTCGTTTAAATCATTAACGAATGAACAGTCGTTGTTGCTTTGGGTGGTTTTGCTGTTCATGCTATTTGTAGCCGACACTACTTTACAAGAAATAGAAAGGAGAACGGAGACCGGTGGAGGGGTTTGGGGAATTCGGTGATGAACCATCGGGTTACTTAAGCCATCTTTGCAGTTAGAACTGGATTCCACATATTTTAAGCAGACGATCTGGAAACACGGAGGATGCATATGAGAAATATTTCTTCCGTTTCATCAGTGATTTGGTTTCGCTGTTTCTAAGTAACTAAATAACAAGATGCTTTACGGGACATGAAGTTTCATCACCGAACTAACCAAAGGCCTCCACCGGTCCCTGTCCTGGGCCAACAAAATTTTGTCGCCTTCAAATCCTATCTCCCATAGATCCCGCCTGAGATTATCCTCCCATCTACATCTAGGTCTCCCCAGTGGTATCTTCACCTCAGGCTTCCCAACCAATACCCGGTGCACACATTTTTCCCATCCATGCGCGCTATATGCCCTGCCCATCTCATTCTTCTAGAATTTATCACCTTGATAATACTGGGGGAGGAGTACAGATTTTTAAGCTCATCATTATGCAGTTTTCTCCATGCCCCATCGTCTTCTCTCCTAGGCCCAAATATCCTCCTCAAACATATTAATTTTATTTTTTCACTGTTCCGTAAAGACTCTTACATAGTAACAGTATCAGAACTGAAATCTGATTGTCGACGAGTGTCCTGGTCGCTGACAATTTACTCTGTTCGATTAAACGCTCAACGTCGCTTTTTGTCGTAAACCACGTGCACTCTTATCTTCGTGTTGTTGTGACGAAGAGTCCTTGGCCTACAGCAGTTTTCAGGAACGCGTCTGATTCTGCCCTGTCTCAGTCCGCGTCAAACAATAGGAGTTAAGCACTTGTTTTAGAAGCAGAAATGTTAAAACCCTCGTCAACACTATTAAGGTTTTGTTCGTGACACAGCTCGCTTCAATTTCCTGTGAGTTGTTACAAAGTTTCGGTCTTCCGCTCTCTTACCCTATCCTTCATAAGCATCAGCGCAATGCAATGTTGATCCATCAGCAGTTGTTGTTCAGTTGGTCGAACTTGTCCTATACGAGGCACGACATCCACCATAGCTGAAGTGAAAGGAAAAGTCGTTACCAGCAGTTCTCCCAAAGTTCGACCTTCTTCAAAACGAGACACGGCACCCACCATAGCTCGATCAATCTTGGAACCCAAGGTCGAAAACCCGCAATTGAGAACTAAGGTGGCGACGTCACGGAATCGTCTGCACACGGGCCTCACTCTTCTAGCCAAGAAATCGTAAGAACAAAGTTCGAAAATGCGAGCCAGCAACTTTGGCGGCAAGTCCGTGATGTGCAGTTGCCTTTGCTGTCGACTGCAGGCTCCAACTTTATCAGGCCCTTCGTTGCTACGTTTAAGTTTTGACTTGGTACAGCGAATAAACTCGTTCATCCCGACGAAGATTTTATGACCAAAATATTCCTGGTGGTTAAATTATTTATCTGAGTAAAATATTTACGGTCTACGATTGAAAGCCACACAAGACGTCAACAGGAAGTTACTAAGAGGCAGTCGACAATGAGACAGAGAGACAACGTAATACAACAATGCACTGACGTCATATCTCGCAGTTTACACTTCCAACAATCAGTTTGCTCACCAAGTTATGTATTGCCGTAGGGGAATAACGATCCTGTACCAACTGAATCAGTTATTTAACGTCGTATAATAAGAGAACACTATCTCGTGCGTTAAAATTGAAAGGCTTCGACTTAAATCGTTCCTTCGTTGACTGTTTCAAGGCGGGCTACGTACTGCGAGGTAGACCCACTATGAAACCCGTCGTTTAGAGTAGGCGATAGGTTTAAATCGGCCACACCCAGAAGCATTGCCGAATTTAAAATCCAGCGGTCTGTGTGTCAGCACCCATTTCAAAACGCATATATGCAGAAAGTGATTAAAGTTTCCTACGAACGATGTTTTGGAATCTGGAGCAAGGTTTTCCTGTCTGAGTCCTAACTAGAGCTTCAAATCGTTTTGCATGCGTAGATGCAAATGTAGGGCTTTCATTTGTATTTTGAAGCAATGGCTTTTTAAACATTGAATCTGTGTCCGAACATATCAACTGCATGGCTTTTATAAGCGATGTGAACAGATGGGTTTTAGTTTGACTTCCTGAAAAACGCGAATCTCTTATCTATTTCTCCCCAATTCGTTTCTGTTTCAGGGGTATACAATAGCCGTTTATCGCACCGATGCATTTTCACTGATTAACACGCGAGTGCTAACAGAACATTCCAGAAATCCGAAAGAAACCAATGCCAAGACGTTAATTCTTGAAAGGGACTTTGATTTGTGTTGTTTCGTAATTCAAGGGTCTCTGTCACATGTAGTTTACCTGTTATGGGAATTGTGCATCAGAGGATTTAATTTGCAAGAATAAAAGTATTTTATCTTCTTATTTTTTTATGTAAATACGTCTGTATTTTAGGGTCAGTGTCATTCGGCAAAAAGTGGAACGAAAAATTGGAACGAAAAAGTGGATTGTTATGTTACCTTGGAAACGTCAATTGTTTACTCGGCATTATTGTTACCTAGGAAACTTCATCTGTTTATCAACAAATCGACAATAATGGTTACCTAGGAAACGTTACATTTCTCGGCAATTTTGTTACCTAGGAAACGTCATCTGTTTACTCGGCATTGTTGTTACCTATAAAACATTTCATTACATTACCTTATAGCGCTCCCCTGCTAGAATATTTATTCTTATGACTTTGTCTGTCCCCTTCCCCATTTCCAACTTTTTATTTCGCGCATTTACGTCTGTAATTTTTTGTTTAATTCTATGTCATTACAACAATTTATTATTCACGAATAAAATAGATTTAAGGATATCGTATAGGCTGTTCGTTTCATGCAATACCGGTACATGATTGTTCACATGAGGTGGAATAATTTATGATTTTATAACATATCACTTGGGTCTATTTTTTACACCATTTCATTTGACTATGCAAATTAACGCTTGTTTTACACGAGGTAATGTTGAAGATTCGGGGTTTATCCACACGGGGGCCTTTACAATGAAGGGATGACATATATTAAAGTAATTTTGGATTTCCTCATATATTTATATAGAAGACTCTGCCATCTTCACAGTATTGATAAAATGTTAAATCATACAGTGAAAGTAATGGAAATATTTTAACAGTGATTATTCACTGAGTGCTCTTAAGTTAGGTCTACCTATTAACAGGAGTTTGTAGATTTAATTTCTATAGGATATGTCCGTGGAGTTTCTTCACAGAAAAAGTAAGGTTTTGTGTGTGCAAAACAGACAGACAACCGCCCAAAATCTCGTTTCGCGCGCCGCGAAAATGTTGAGGCACTGTTGTATGATCACAAAACTGTGTGACAGTGAAGACGCATTACAGAGGCCGACGACGTCGGAACTGCTCTCGGGGATCGACGTAGAGACTTTGCTTCTGCTGTTCTCCATGATGATAATGGTGGCTATCCTTTCAGAGACCGGCATATTCGACTATATGGCTGTCTACGCTTGTAGGGCAAGAACAATGTGTAAGATGGCTGTATTCTGGGTTCTAGCAAAGTCTAACTTTGTAGAAGTTTATTAAAGTTTTGGAGGTCCTTCGTGCCTCAATCGCCCTGATGATGGAGGCAGTAAGGACCTATGAAACGATGCTCAACTTCTACTAGACTAGACGGCGCTACAAACCAGAAGACAGCCATCTTCGGATTCAGATCCTACTTGGAATCTTACTTCATCGATTTATTTTGCACGCCGTTGCATAAACGATGTCGTAAGGATCGAGAAAATTCACTTCAGTGTTTTCGCGAAGTGAACTGACGCTGATATGGCCGCGGCCATATTAGATGCGGATTCAAGTGACTGATGCTTGCATGAATTCGTACAGATTTTGTCGTAAGAGATCATACAACCCGAGTATTCACAATGAATACGACTGCGTGCATTTCGTTTTTATGAGTGACTTCTGCCTTCTGGAAAAGAGTGTTATTAAGTCTTTGCATCTCCTTCTGGATTTCTGAATTTTTCGTGGAGAAAGGAACTATTATTGAACACAGGCACGTATATCCGGATCTCCTAAAATAACCCATTTTTTTTAAAATATTTCCAAATTAAGTATGGGACTTGGATAATAATTGGGATTAAATTAATGGACTTTTACAAAATAAAACAATATTTTTGTTATGCATAACAATTTTTAATGTCATATTTGTCATCACTATTTTCAGTGTTTGCTCGTTTGGTGCCAAAGGCGCGTTCTGTACTGAATTAAAATATCGCAATCCATATTTCGTAGAGACTGCCAACAAATTTGATAAGAAACGAATTCATTTGAAACATTTTTTGGTCCTACGAATTCTTGCGGTGTCGTCCGAATTTTCCTCTGGCAGTCTGACCAACCTCATTATGTTTCATGTTGGCACGACTAGTAGTCACAGAAACTCATAAGAACAGGAAGGAAAATAAAAAAAATGTTACAGAAAATTTCATAATGTCGACGTTTTCATTACAAGATACTTTGGTAACAAACAAGGCGGATTATATGGATGTAGAACATAGCACGCATGAGATAAGGAAACGTTAAAGAATAGAACACCTTTAAAGACCAAGATATAAATTGGAGGATAATATTAAAATGTAAGTAAAGAATTTTGATGTGAGGACGCGGACCGAACTTTTATGACTTAGGTCACGGTCCAATAATGGGCTGTGATAATCTGTGGAACCTCAAAAGTTGAAGATTTTTTGAGGAAATGAGCGATATTATTTCATTCAGTTTGAGGTAGAAGATTTTAGAATACGTTATTGCTGAATGTAATCAGATACGAAATGCAGTAAAGCAAGCAAAATGATTATGAAGCTCTGTGGTGTAATTTTCAGATAACAAACAGAAAGGTGTGTCCTCTGGTGAATACACTACGCTTGATCACGACTTTCTTGTCAGAATGCCAATGAACATCAAATTACGAAAAATTAAAAGAAATATCTGCTTCCTCGTCACTGCAGGACAAATAACACACTTTTAATGTGGTTGCCACTGACATATTCTGGTCGCTATTAATTTACAAGTATTGTGATTACTTTATACAGAATTGCAATACTTTTCAATCAGAAACAAAATATCCGCTCATAACAGTGTCTTCTTTTCGCAGTTGAGTAGTCTCACATTATCTTATTCCCGATAGTTGATTTGTATCAAATTAAAACCAGTAAAAAAGTAAAGTTTGTCCCACTATACGCCATGTAGGCGTTTGGGGTGAGAGGAGGTATAGCTCCTCTCTTCCTTGACCTCGGCACTAGATGGGGGTGAGTGGTCAGCATCACGCCCCGGCCGGCTTTACCCCCTCTGCCCCCGTCGGGGATCGAACCCCGGTCGTCCAGCCCGTAGCTAGTCACTATACTGACTGAGCTATCCCGGCTCATAATTAAAACCAGTACATAGTAAAAATATGACCAGAGCCGCGAAGAATAAGTAAATTTGTGTCTGTTCTTGGAATAGGTTGTGAGAGGTAATGGAACTGATGACCACAGGTATCTACTGAAATATTGGCGGCGGCATCACCCCTGTTGGGGATCCTCCCAACATCATCATCGCCCCCAACCAGGACGTGATTGACTCTGTAAATGAAGAAACTCTTGGATTCCGGGCTCAATTGAGCAGGGGCCTACTTTTTTAACCACACTCTCAGCCACTTCACGATACTTCACAGAAACTTGTTTATTTGAAACAAATTGTAAGGGAAAGTAACCAAATTTCGCCCACTGTTCCAAATGTACAACAGATGCCAGAGGCTATTGCACGCTGGTGTTAGCAACTTTGTCACAAGCATGTCGGAGGTACGCGCTGCCATGTTGGAAAGTCGTTTAGATTCTAATTCCGCCTATAGGCAAAGGATGCCAAGCGTGTGGCATACAGCTTGGCTTGCTGTATGGAATGCTGTAAGGCATCTCTTCTCAAGAGAGAAAATGTCTCAAGCTGTGTGTCAAGAGACCCCTAACTTGTCATTCAGGAAACCGCTGCAAGAATTCGTGGCTTCACCAAAGAGAATGCCGATCAGTTCTTTTCCATTTTAGTGCAACTCAAAAGTACGAAAGGTAAAAGGCAAGTTGCAAGTCTCTCATCAGTTGAGAGGGGAGCTCTGGTAACGGTTGTCACATGCGTGAGTGCATCCGTTCCTGGTCTTCCCCAGGAAGAATATGAAATCAAGAGTTGCTGGATGGCGCACCTGCTGGCACGACTGGCACTTGTCACACCTCCGGCTGGAACCAGGCAGAGTCAGAAATTCAAATGTGCTTAAATACTCACGCACTATGAAGTTGCAGCACTGTTCGCAAAAGCTTGTGCGCCTTCCGCCCCAATAGAAGTCGCAGTGAAAGGATTTCGAAAGACTGGATTTTTCCTTTCCAAGCCAGTATCTTCAGAGACCGTGATTTTCCAACGAAGATTACGGATGTTGTTTCTAGTCTTGGAGTTCAAGAAGAACACTCAACATCTTTTGTCATGCCATCTGA